TTCTGAACTGTGGGGACCAAGCCCTGCTCCAAACCTCCTTCGTCAGAGTCTCTGCGAAGCATGGCCCTGGTGTCAATACCTTCAAGAGCTCCCTGGGTGATCCTAATGTGAGATCCACTGGCCCAGAAGCTTTTAAGAGCCCTCACAGGTATCCCCGGTGCCTACAGACATGTATGATTCAGAGTAGACACTTGGCATAAGTTTGCTGAAGAAATGAATGCAGATTCTGACTCACCTTCTTTGCCGTCTTCAAGTTCATCATTTATGAGGTATGGGCTGGGCGCAGTGGCTCATACCTAAATCCCAGTGCGATGGAAGGCCAAGCGGGGAGGATCACTTGACACCAGGAGTTTGAGACCAGCCTGGGCAAAACAGTGAGAACCCATGTCTACAAAAAAATTAAAAATTAACTGAATGTGGTGGTACACACCTGTATTACTCAGGAGGCTGAAGATGGAGGATCGCTTAAGCCCAGGAGTTCAAGGCTGCAGTGAGCTGTGATAGCGCCCCTGCACTCCAGCCTAGGGAACAGCAAAGAAAAAGAGCTGAATCCCAAGTAAGAACCATAGAGCAATGCTCTCCAACAGAAGTTTCTGCAATGATGGAATGTTCTAGAATCTGTGCTGTTCATTACAGTAGCCAAGAGCCATATGAGGCTACTGAGTATAAGAAATACAGCTGATGTAACTGAGAAACTGAACTTTTAACTCTATTTAATGTTGATTAAATGTAAACTTAAACAACCATCTGCACCTTCTGCTGCCGTATTGGACAGTACAGATATGGAGTGCCTACCTTCATAAACACCTTTACACCCGTGCACCTCCACGCCCCCTTCTCTAGTCTTAGGGGAGCAGCTAATGAGCCAGCCCTGTCCTCCTCCCACCAAGGAGTGGGCCCAGCACCCACGCTAAGTCAACTAGACCCTCCTCATGCAGATTTGGTGTCCCAAGAACAGAAACTGAGTTAGAGAGATTATATGCATGTTTCCATACCACTCGTCCAGGGCGTGACGTAACAGCAGCATTCTGTGGCGTGAGCCAAGCACCATCCTCATTCATGTCATCTGGACCCAGCAGCTCTAATACACCAGCTTCTGGGCTAGGGATGCAAGTGGCTCAGCTTCTCTCGTGCAACATTTCTTCATCTGCAAAATGGAAAGCACACCCATCCCAGCTTCCAGGATTTTTGTGAAGACAACAAAAGAGAGCACGGTCTTGGGGCCTGATGCAGTGGCTCATGCCTGTAATCCCCGCACTTTGGGAGGCCAAAGCAGGAGGATTGCTTGAGACTAGGAGTTCGAGGCCAACCTGAGCAACACAGTGAGACCTCATCTCTACAGAAATAAAAAAAAATTAGCAGGGTGTGGTGGCAAGTGTCTACAGTCCCAGCTATTTGGGAGGCTGAAGCAAGAGTGTGGCTTGAGCCCAGGAGGTTGAGGCTGCAGTGAGCTGTGATCATGCCACTGCACTCCAGCCTGGGTGACAGAGACCTTGACGAGAGAGAGAGAGAGAGAGAGAGAGAGAGAGAGAGAGAGAGAGAAATCGTTTACAAAGCTTTGGGCCAAGTGTTTGTTCCAGGTTGCTCCCAGGGGTTTAGGTGTTGGGCAGTCATAGGAGGGTCTGATGAAGGACCCAGGATCTGGGCCCTGTCCACAAACTGTGCTACACCAGTACACCAGGTGAGACACTTGCCTTCCCTGGGCTTTTGGCTAAGCTGAGATTGGGTTAGCCATACTCCTTTCCAGTTTTACCATTTTCTAGCCTATGTGCATTGCATGCCTCCTTACCTGACACTATCCCTTCCTGCTTCTAGGCACACATGCCAGGGAATTCTCTGGCCTAGACCATGCTGGCCTTGGGCCCAACTTGGTCACTCTTCCCCTGCTCCCCACCTGGCTGGGGAGTGCCCTGGGTATGCTATCTCCTCCACTCACACTCACAGACCTTAAGCCCTGCCAGGCAAAGGCCATGCCCCTCTTTTTTTTTTTTTTAGAAAGCAAGATTTATTGAGAGGACAGAAAAGCTCCCACAGTGGGTGGGGACCCCAGGGTGTTGCCCGGCCATGCCCCTCTTGGACACTACGATGTCATTGGTGCCCAGTACAGAGTCAGACACAGCAGGAACTCCATAAGTACTTACTGTCTGAATGTCTGAGTGATCACCCCTAATCTCTCTTCTTACTTGTCATTTCAGGACACCTGCTGTATTCATTACCTAATCCTGCATAACAAATTAACCCAAAATGCACTGGCTTAAAACAGCCATGATCACTTGTCATCTCTCAATTTCTGCAGAGGAGGAATTCAGACAGGAACAGCAGGGCTGGCTCTTCTCTGCTCTGTGCTTGAGACCTCACATCTAAGACTCAGAGGCAGAGAAATGGCCTGAAATCCCAGCCCACCACCTATCTGGCATTTGTTTCTGGCTGTTGGCTGAGAGCAGATGTCACCCAGGACACCTTCTGGCGACCTCACTCAAGATCACCCTCCCATGGCCTCACTAAGTCTAGTCCACACTCAAGGGGGAGCGAATTAGACTCCATGTCTTGAAGGGAATGGTGGCGAGCTGGCAAACATCTTAAAATCTGCATGACCACATGCCTAACCCAAGAGGCCACACACGGGGTGAAAGCCAAGCAACTATGGAAGGAAGACTTCAGTTCAGATTTTAGCTCAGCAACTTTTCCGCTGTGTGAGCTTGGGGAATTACGTTCTGAGACTTGATTTCCCTATTTATCCCAAAAAAGGCGGCAGTCGTTGGCCCCTGGTGACTGACATGGCTGGAGTCTTCTTGCCTCTGTGAGCTTCAGAGGATCCAGGCTCGACTCCCTCTTGGAGTCCTGTGACCGTCCCCCTCACCCTTGATGTCTGACTCTGGAGGCACTAAGAGGTCTGGGACTCAGGGGACAGAAAGTTCAAGTACAGGAGCAGCGTTAAGGCACAGCTGGGAAACCACTGAGGACCTCAGGATTCTCTGCGGCCTCCTCCAGCTCAGTCCTGGTGTGGAAACCTCAGCTTGTCAAGAAACGTGTGACTCCAGAATTCAGGAATCTGAGTCTGCTTGCTGGGGCCCAAGCATCTGCATTTTCCCAGGAGAGTGCTATTCATGCTATCTATCAACAGTGGGGAGAAGAAGTGTCTTAAAGCCCACTGGCGGCTTTTACTAATAGCGAAGTTCCCTTCTGGTCAGAGTTAGTACCTTTCCTGCTATTACAGCTCTGTGGAGTTGGAGAGGGAGGGTGTGTGGAGTCTCCAAAGTCCAGTGACCCTGCACAGCCACCTGCCATAGTCCACCTTCCTCCGGGTGCCTCACTCTCCCCCACCATGGCTTCCCACGTCCCTGTGGTGGTCCCTCCGCCTCTAGGGAGCCATATCCTTCCACGGAGTGCGTGGGGACCAGGGCGTGCAAAGCCCTGTCTTGGGGGTGGATGAGGGGTGACCTCTGCGCATGGCACTCCAGCCCCCACCCTGTGCAGGTAATCGGGTGACTTTTAACCCTTTTGTTTCCAGAAGTAGTGACCCCGAACCCCTAAATGTCCTCCCTTAAGGAACGTGTGCGCCAGGAGGGTCTCTGCGCTCACCCAATGTGGCCTCGGCGTACAGACGGGGAAACTGAGGCCTACAGAGGGAAGTGATCGGTTGAAACAGGCGCTGAGACCGACCCAGGACCCGAGACTTCCAGGCCTGTGTTTTTTGCCAAAGGCCCCCCATGAGGTTCCCCTCTGGAAAATCCCCGACTGCAGGCGTTCCTCCCGCGCCGGGGCGGAGGTCTCCGTCTGGCCCGGTGTAAATTGTTTCGCGGCGCTCCGCCCGCGAGGCGAAGAGGGCGCGGATGCCCACTGCATCCTCCAGATGGCTCCGGGCGGAGGGGT